ATCTCTGAAAATGAAGTGGCGGGGAGGGGGGGTATTTCAAAGCTTCCGTAAAAATATTATATCTTCTAAACGGCTTGGCCAATTTCAACAAACTTGGGCTAGTTGAGAAGAGCTATTCTGTGGCTACATATGTGATAATATTTGGAGTTTTGATAGTTCCACACTTCGCCGATAGAGGGCTTTTTCGACATTCCTCCGACAAAAATGGTTAATTTTCTCAAAAATATCGAATGCATCGGTATAATACTATTTCAGTCGGGATGTCGAAAAAAATCCCTCTAGCGGCGTTATGTGAAACTAACAAAACTTCAAATATTCAAAGATTGTAGCCCAAGAATAGCTCTTTTCAACAAGCCCAAGTTTATGTAAAAACTTCACAAACGATAAGATTTCACAAAATTCTGAAACACACAACATGTTTCGCTAACACAGTAGCTTCGTCAGGTGATATACTGGTACAATGAACCATAGTTAGATATATGAATGAACTAAACCAACCTTGGCTTGCTTAACTTTTATATATCCTACTTTTCCAACTTGAAAGATTAGTAACCTGTGTTAAGCAATCCAAGGTTGGTTTAGTTCATTGTACCAGTATCATCTGACGAAGCTACTGTGTTAGCGAAACATGTTGTTTGTTTAAGAATTTTGTGGAAATCTTATCGTTTATGAAGTTCTTACATTTTCCATGGATTTCCATCAATTAACGAACGAGTCAATTGAAAAATAAAAACAAGTTTGTTGAAATCGACTGAGATAAAGGGTGTTTTAAATGGGTTCTTTTGGATACCTCCCACCACTTTATTTTAGGAGATACAGCAAGAATTATTGTCGAAAAAAAATGTTCAGGTTATCTTCGACTTCGAAGATTAGGTACTTTTTTGTTAGGTAATTATAGCGGATATCACAAAAAATAACTATTTTAGATTCAAGATTTCAGTGACGCACCCTAGCGGTCATTTCAGAATCTTGAAAATATTTTCCAGTTTTTTCTCTTGTTCGTTTTGGTGTCGACTTTTTCTCCCGCAAGCCTCTACGATGGATAGTTTCCCAGATACAGTACCTCGCATTCTTAGTTGGCCACCCTGTACATTGAAATCGCACATGATGATGATGATGATTACTCCTGCTGGATAGTTCTGCTGAATTAGGTCAAGCTTTAGGGACAAGAACTCGAAGAGCTCTCCATAGGATCGATCACTTGGTGATGACTAGAGACAACAAAGTGGTTCCAAAGTTTTTTCTCGATGAGAGATTCGTTTTAGAATAGAGACAGAGATCAGCCTTAAACCCGAAACGTGTGTGGAGCTCGCACCAGGGCCAATATTTCTGGCTCTGCAGTTTGAAGGTGTCGATGGGCATCGTTGATGTTCTTATTTAGACCACGAATGTTACATAAGTATGTCTATCTACGCCCAGCCTCTTATCTCATAGATTCTAAATAAAAGATGTATATATACAACCTTATTAAGCATTTCAATTATATTCGCTATCTGAAATACCTTTTGTTTGAATTGATATTACTTGTCCTTGGCAGTTTCAGAATATTTATAAGAAACAAAAGAATCTATTGAATATTTTCTGTAATCTGAAGTGTACATCATGAGACTAAATTAAAATTGATCGATTAGGTTTCCTTGATTATGTATATTTTTTTATCAACTCACTGCATCGAAAGTAAGCGGTTGCTCCCGTGGGAGGTAAAATTAATTGGATTTTGCTTGCTTCCTTGGTAGAGATATGATATGTTTAACATCTGTGCTACCCAAGTACCTAATCAGTGTCTTCATCACTACTATAAAACAAATAACAATTTCATTTTTGAACTCCAATGATCTCATACACTTCCTCATATCCCAAACTTGCTCAATCGAAACTAAATAAAATGCAATTACACAAAAAACGAAGTCAACGTGACAGGAATGTAAAACTGTCAAATTGATATTCGTTCAGATCAAATACTGTCTGTAACCTTAGGTCATGTAACACATTGATTTGTATCGAGACTCGAGAGATAGTCCGCTTGAAACAGAATATCAAGAACGACGCTCTCAAATATATGCGTTCGTGGATAAAATCATATATATATCTTGGGAACAAATGTTCATTTCATCCCACGCGGAAAATAGTATATTATGTAACAAGTGTTATAAACGTTCTTTTAGTAACGAGTATTTTAAGCACGAGCGGAGCAGAGCGGAGCGAGTGTTTAATAAACGAGTGTCTAGAAGAGTTTATAAACGCGTTACATACTATGATTTTTCTACGAACTCCGATAATTACATTAACATACCTGCAATTCCTGCTATAACCTACAAAATAATACGAAAGGAATGGCAATTGAGAACATAATACATACAACTGCATGCAACCAGCGAGACACGTATAAGTGATATTGGTTGTAGATGTGTCCAGTCCATTGCTTACTAACTTGTTTCACGTTTATTGTCATGTTTAGCGCAGAATAAATAGATTGTTCTCAAAGATGGATGCTTCATTTTTACACTTCTTGGAGATATGCAAGTACCAGAACATTCTCTTCGATTTCACTTTCGTCTACTTTTCGCATATATTTTTAATGAAAAATTCTGATACAAACGAATATTGTTTGAATAATTCTTATACAAAATTCGAAAATAACAGTTGACAGTTAATACAATTGACAGGCCAGACATGTCTCAAATTACTGAAGCTGTGTTTAATGAACTGCGTTGCCATGATAATGTGTTTAAGAAATCGTGTTGCCATGGTAACGTGTTTAATATTTTGAATAAATCACAGATCGACAATCCGTGATTAATCGATCATTTAGCGTGGTACATATCCGTACGCTAAATGCCATTTTAGTTATATGAGTAGAAAAATAGCTATTATTTATTGTTCAAATTTTATTTGTAAGGAACGGTTCATTATAATTTTTCCTTTGGATTTTATATGTGTTGACAGAAAAATATTTGAACATCTCAAAAATAGTGATTATCAACTTATAAAAATCTCAAGTCTTGAAAAAAAGTATACTTCTCGCAATAATGACTAGTATTATTGACTCGCGGCATAAACTACTGTATTATAGAGCATTTCAATTTGACGACAGATAATTCAGTATAGTTGCCATGACATACTCTAAAATCTCGAATATATCGAAATCTCAATATATACAGCGTGTCTAAGCGAACGTAAATAATGTATTTACTCGACAACGGAGAAATCAACAAAAAAGATATATCTTGATTTTTCTATCAAACCATAATTTTCTAAACGTTTCGAAATTTGCAATTAATTTGAATTCTTAATTTTTTCGAGGCACTTGAATGAAAAATGTAGCCGATCCTGGCCATTCGAAATGAGGGGAATTTTAGGGATTCAAAAGCACGAGGAACGATAAAAAAATGTAATTGTTTTTGTACAAAATGGGACCATCGATGGGACATCAGGAGTTAGCCTGGAATTTTGTTTTGCTGTTGTTCTAGTAGGCTAATCGAATCGTGCCAAAAAATTGGGCTTCTATTTAAAATAAGAAAGTTGGAGCTGACTTTTGGCACACTCTGTCTGTATAGCTGGAGGACTGAAAATATTTCAGGGCAATTGAAAATGATTGATCATAACTGCATACCAATTTTCGAGATTTCAATCCTTGGAAAACTTTCAATGTGTGACCTACGTGAATTACCCTGTATATGAAATCTACAAGAAAAAATATGCATAAAGAACCGTTCCTGGAAAAAAAGATTGAACAACTGATAAGAAAGTTGAGGGGGTTTCTAAATATTCGTTAAGACCCTGTAGGTACACTCGTCTTCAGTGATCATGTCGCACATGGACGGTGTCAGCTCTTTTAATCACCACTGCAATTGGAGCGCTCATACCAACCGCGACTTGTTCACTGAAGACGAGTGTACCTATGCGAACTTTTCGAAGAAGCTACTAAAAAAGTTTTCAATTTTGTACAGCATTGCAGAAATTATAGACTAGTGAATGAATTATTTTTCTGCCAAAATATCTATTCTCAAAGGAAATACTGAAACACGTCGAATTTTGTTGCCAATAAAATAAAAAAATATATACAAGGTAATGGAAATTTGAGTAGTGCCTTATTCACCATACTGTTGAAATATTTGTTAACTCATCTTTGAACTTTTCTAGAACGAATCTTTTCCCTTTTCCAACATGAATTGGAAAATAATTACTGCTTCAACTGCTTTTAAATTCAGTTTTCTCCCTTTTTATACCACGAGTTACGTTGTGTTGAAGTAAAGTTTTTTACACTCGGACACTGTATGTGACTGAATGTTTTCCATTTTCTATCAGAATTAGGACAAGGTATTTAATTCATGTTTATGTTGAAAACAGCAGATTCGTTCCCAAAACGTACAATGATGAGTGCAAACTTGATATTCTTTCAATTTACATACCCCTATATTCTTGAAATATTTTTCAAAACAGGGTGTCACTGACTATTAATTGAATTCCTCTTTTAGGATTTCAAATAGTGAAATTTCTAAACGCAGTGACATTTTGTGGAAATCATGTGATTTTTTCTACTGCAAATTAGTTGAAATAAAACTATCATAGACGAGTGTACAGAATAATAATATATTTGCACGTTTCATTAAATTATAGGTTTTTACAAAAACATTTTTCTTCTAAATTGTTCTATCCGTCATTCGGCCGCCCCCCTACGAGCAACCCTCAGAAGTCTTCGAGAGTCTTGTGCGAGCAAGGAATGACGGGGGCCTTACCTTTTAACGTGTGATCCCAAACACTTTCTTGGGCCATCAGAAAAATATCTGCAGTCGACGGGACACGAACCCACGACCGGCAAGCGAATGCGGATTAGAATATGGACACTCTGTCCACACGGCTACCTGGCCCCTTCATTTCACAGTATTATGTTGCTCCTATATTCGAATTATATGCACTTATAAATTGAGTCCACGTGTTTGTGTTTTTGCCTATTGACTAATTTTAGCGTATCTCCCGAAATTATTTTTTTTTTTCAGTAAAGTCATAAACCACTCCTGTCCAGACACGATCGACGAACGAGCAATAAACAAAGAAAAGCTCACCCTCTACACCAGACTGGAGAACCTCACTCTAGCTCTGTCGTCAGCCTCCGCGATCGGTTGCAACGTCATCAACATCGACGCTCACAACCTGTCCAAAGGCACCCCACACCTGGTGCTCGGCCTCCTCTGGCAGATAATCAGAATAGGGCTATTCAACCAGATCACCCTAGAGCACTGTCCCGGCCTGACGACTCTGCTCACCGACGACGAGAAGATAGACGACCTGATGAAGCTCTCTCCCGAGGCGATCCTGCTGCGCTGGGTGAACTATCACCTGGAAAAGTCCGGGACCCACCGGCGCGTCACCAACTTCCAGAGCGATATTGTGGACTCAGAGGTTTACTCTCACCTGATGAAGCAGATCGCTCCCGCTGATACTGACGTCAACACGGACGCTCTCTATGAGAAGAACTTGCACAGCAGGGCGGAGATTATGCTGCAGCAGGCGTCGAAGCTGAAGTGCAGGGCGTTCGTGACGCCGCAGGACGTCGTCAACGGCGTCTACAAGCTCAATTTGGCATTCGTCGCTAATCTGTTCAACAACCATCCAGGGTTGGAGCAGACCAACGGAGCTATTGATGGGTATGAGACTATCGAAGAGACGAGAGAGGAAAGAAGTGAGTAAATGATATTGAAATAATACATTGTTTAACTAGCACGGAATGATAGTGATTTCCCAAAGCCGGGATTGGCGCAGTGGAATAGCGTCCGTCTCACCACCGCAAGGTCGTGGGTTCGATTCCCAGCACGAGCAAGGAACTTTTTTCAATATTTTATTCACGAATTGAATATTGTAAAGTTTCGGAGCATCGGCTGGGGATTGTCCTGCACGATTCGCTGTTACGTTCCAATTAACAGTGCTGCTCCTAAAGTGGCGCATGGAGTTAGTAACAAAGCCTACACAGAACACGCAGAAAGAGATGATGGTGTGGTTGTGAGCATCAGAGAAGAAGTGGGACGGTGTATGTAGGTGGGTGTGGAAAACTACCAGCTAAGCGTGAGAGCGGGCCAGCTGCTAAGTGAACCTCGGTCTCTAACGGGGGTTAACGAGGATAGCTAGCAGGCCTGCCAATGCGCATATGGTAGTGAGTACATTACTAGCCCACAAAACACAGCCGAAAAACTCTGAAAGAGAGCTGATGGGCGGTGCCTGAAAAGGATGTTAGCCAGCTCTCTTGAGGCGAACCACATCAGTCATTGAAAACACTTGGAGTTTGCAAAAAGGTCCCATTAGGGACTAGTTGCTGACGTGCAAACGTCCCCCACCAGTACCAGTAGTAGTAGTAGTAGTAGTAGTAGTGATTTCCCACAAGAATGAAGTTTGCAATAATTGGAGTGGGAAATTAGCATTCCGTGCCAATACACTATAAGTTTTCTACGGCTGTAACAGATAACAGCGGCATTTTTGATTTTTTCGTCTTGTAGCCATCTGATTTCCTGTCAAGTAATGCTCATCTATTAGACAGAAATGTCATTGCTTGAAATTGGACATCCCATGAGCGATGAGATTATTTTTGGAATTATAACACAACGGAGTCATTGTGTTATCAGATAAGGAAATAAAATTGATGAAATACAAAGTACCCCATTGATGTATTGAACACAGTAAAACAAGGGCAATTTTGTGTAATAGCCGTAGAAAATAGTAGATTGTTCAACGAGCACGGAATAATAGTGATTTCCCACGAGAATGCTGCAATCATTCGAGTGTGAATTTAGCATTCAGTGCGAATTATACACTATAATTTTTCTACGGCTGTAACAGATGACAGCGATATTTTTTATTTCTTCATCTTGTAGCCATCTGATTTCCTCTCAAGTCATGCTCATCTATTAGACAGAACTGTCATTGGTTGAAATTTGAGATTCCATGAGCGATGAGAATTTTTTTGAAATAATAACACAATGGTCATTGTGTTATCAGATGCGGAAATAAAATTGATGACATACAGAGTACCTCATTGATGTATCGAACACAGTAAAACAAGAACAATTTTGTGTTATAGCCGTTTAGTAACTAGTTGATGGAAACGAGATAATTGAGTACAAGAAAGATGAGACCGACTCATATTAAAATATATTGACAAAATTGTCATTCAGGATTTATTGATAATTCCAGTATTCTCTCTCTATTAGACAGGTTTTGACTTTATTATAAGGGTGTCCCAAAGTCATGGATCAAAAGAAATGGGGTGGGGGTGGGGGGTGTCCTTTGCAATCAAACTAATAGTATATATGTGGTTATCAAATTGTTGATGGTACAAAAGTTATTCAATTTTTCTGAAAAACGACGCCCATATGAAAAGAATTGATAACAAAAAGATTGTTTTGAATAACCCCATACGTTATACCATTTCAGAATCTGTATTGAATGGGCAATTTTTTCATATAATTGGTTATCTTTGTGTGGTAGTTTGCAAAATCTACCTGCGGCATTTAAATATCAACTTGAATATTTCATTCAATGACAGAACTTAAGGAAAACAAAATTTTTCTAAGATAATTGATAAAACTATTTCTGGGAAAAGGTGCATCCATGTGGATGAAATTTGTTGAAGAAAAAATCACAAATATGACAAAGTTTAATTGTAGATACTTTTTTTATAGAAATAAAAAAAATAATAACTTCTGAACCATCAACATTTGGATAACCACATATACGGTTAGTTTGATTGGAAATGACCCCCCCCCCCTACCACCCCACTTCCTTTGATCCATGACTTATAAGACACCCTGTACACTACTGACACATCTCACTGCGTAAGGTAGCTTATTCTAACAAATGGATACATTTTAATTAGAGGAATTTTTGTCTCGCACTAAATAACAATAGATGGATTCATTTATAAATGAAATTGCAAATGATGGGGAAAATCTGCGGAATCATTACCAGATAATTGATGTTATTTATAGATATATTTTATACAGGGTGTCCTGAAATTAGCCTGCCAAACTTCACCAGCGGCTTCTACGACCAAAAATAGAAAGAAAAGTTCCGATGAACATGAGTCGATAAATGTCTCCTAAAGGAGATACGGCCCTGAAGATGATATTTCTTGAATTTCCGAATAGCCATGTGATTAAATGATGCAATTTACTACAAGAACTGAATTTTTCATTTCCAATGTAGTGAAAATAAAATCATTCAAAAATTCCATTCAAGAATGTATAATACAGGGTGGGACTACATTATATATTGCTCAAACTTTTTGTATATCGGCAATATTCAAGAAATATCATCTTCAGGAGCCCCTTTTCAGGAGGCCGTAGATCCCTTAGGAGACATTTATCGACTCATGTTCATTGGAACTTTTCCTATTTTTGGCAGTGCCGTATTTAGGGGAGGGCATCCGGGGCCTCCAAAAAAAAGTGGCCTCCACAATTGAGAAAAAAATCTTTCGACTTTCGACGGGTAAACACTAGTGAACAACTTTTCCTTCAATATTTTTCATGGAAAAGTTAAGTTCGTTGTTTTACCCTTAGTACTTTGTAGAAACATGATTATATTATTCTCAAATATTGAAAAATAATTTAATTATATTTGTTCACCCCAATCTGAAAATATCAATTTGTCGAAATGACCTTGATAAGCAGTTGTTGCCATTTACTACCCATCTTGATAGAGTATCCCAATGGCTCCGCGTTTTCATTAAAGAGGACTATGGAAAAAACCAATCTACTGAAGTATTTTAATACGACATTCTTGAAGATAAAAGTTCAAGAATTACCATCCCGAGCATCGAAATTGCACTGAGAATGTATTTGGTTTTGATAACATCGAATTGCACTGGAGAAAGCTCAATTCCAAAAATGAAAATTTAAAAAAATAGTGTTTGAACTTCAATGAGACATAACCTACTTTCAGATAATTCTTGTTTTTGGCAATATTTCTACTTCGTATAAACATATGTCATTTCCTGAGATACAAAGTGTCAAAGTTTAATTGTTCCTCTTGTTTTTTGTGAGTTAATTCAGAAATGAACGTGATATTAGAGTGAAATTTGGCATCTCACACGAATATCACGATTATTTTGGAATTCATTATCAAAAAACCGAAATAACAATCAAAATTTTACACTTTGTATCTCAGAATGAATAACTTGCGGACATATGGTTATACAAACTTTTCTTCTTATTTAAACGTCAGCAACATGTTCCTGACTTTTTTACTTGTACTTGAGAAAAACTCTGTATATGCTAAAATAATTTAGTTGGATTTGCATAAAACTATTGACTGAGAACTTTGTTAATTTTATATGGAAAACAATTAGGAGCCAGGGAGCCTCCACTCCTTTGTTGCCCCAAGGCCTCCAGACCTCTAGTGGTCGTAGAAGCAGCTGGTGAAATTTGGCAGGCTGATTTCGGGACTCCCTGCATATCTGATAAATCGGAACTTCTATAAATGTGAATATATGCAAAAATTAATTAACTCTCACATGTTGTAACATAATAATACCTCATTTCGTAACGTCTGGGGGTTTGGATATTTGTGACTAACCTTACTTTGCAGATTTAACACTGCCGAACCATACTCATTCACAAAATAGTTGCTTTAGGTTTGTCACATTAAATGAGTTACTGAAACACAGAAAACTAATCACACACCAGATAATCATCGATACCAACAAAAACAAAACGACAAATGACATTTACTACGGTTATCGCTCGTCTACTACAAAAATTTGTGATGCCGCCACGTTCATCTTCAATTAATTCGCATTTTTAATTTCATTATGTATCTACCTTAAAGATAACTAATTATTTTACTTGGTTCTTTGGGATTTTCTCTCCTCGTTTCTATAAAATAAAAGTATTCGTATTATTTCAATATATTTGTAGAGGGACAAATCAGATGATTTGCCCCAAAATGTCACTGCGTTTAACAAATTTTTCTATCAGGGAGTCTAAAAGAAAAATCCAGTAGCTTGTCAGTGACAATTTGTTTGAAAAAATTTTTGAAGGAAAGAAATATAGATATATTGAAAAAATATCGAATTTGTACTTATCTTTGGACGTTTCGGGACCGATTCTGCTCCCGTTCTCAACATGTAAATGCAAATTATTTTTCTTTGAAAGTTGTGCTGCGTATATAGTTTGACACTTAAAGTAAAATAAATCACTCTTTTCAACTAGTTACTTTGAGGTTTTGTAGTGTCATTTCATATTGTGGGATCCAAAATAGATCACCTGAGCTATTCCTGACAAAACTGACAAAAAAAGAATACATTTTAACATAATAATACTTCTCAGCTTCCACATCCCGAAAAATCACAATAATTCAAAATCGTAATATTTGGACTTGTGGTGGTATCGTTTCTTGACGCTGTGACTTCTATCTTCTATCATAAACAATTTTTCAGCATACAGAAACTGGATGAACTCGATGGGGGTCAGCCCCCACGTGAACTGGCTTTATTCAGACCTTGCCGACGGTCTGGTAGTTTTCCAACTGTATGACATAATCAAACCGGGCACTGTGAAATGGAACCGGGTCCACCGTAAATTCGCCAATGAGCGCAAGAAGTTCATGGAGAAGCTGGAAAACTGCAATTATGCCGTGGAGCTCGGCAAGGAGATCAAATTCTCATTGGTCGGGATCGGCGGACAGGATTTGAACGATGGAAACGTCACGCTAACGCTGGCTCTCATCTGGCAGTTGATGAGGGCTTACACTTTGTCTGTTTTGACTCAGCTGGCTGAGTCTGGCAGTCCGATTGTGGAGAAGGAGATTGTTACTTGGGTGAACAGCAAGCTGAGTCAAGCTGGAAAGAAGTCTTCCATCCGCAATTTCCAAGATGCTTCCATTTCTGACGGTAAAGTCGTGATCGACCTCATTGACGCTATCAAACCCGGTGCTATCAACTATGATTTGGTCAAACAAGGATCTAGTGAAGAGGTGAGATACCAAATTAGGTTGAGATGAGTAAATTATTTAACATGTATGCCCGTGACTAATAATTTGAATGAACGTCCTGAAAACCACTTGCAAGCGTCAATCGTAAGCGTATAGAAAACCCATAAGATGGCACATTGTCTGGATTGAATATGTCAAAAAACAAATAATAAAAAGAGTTGAAATTGCTGAGGTATGTTCTGAATAAATTTTCACTTTAATCTTTAACTACAACAGAAAGGACAATAAGTAATACTTGGGACTTTTATAATTCAATTTGCTGATGAGTTGCGGCTCTCACAAAATTATACTTGATACTATACTATTCATTGGATTCATATCCTTGTAATCATTTTTCTGAGAGAACTTGAAGCTTGTTACATTTTGATATGTGCAGTACCAAAGAAAACATTTTATCGTTACTTGGACTGTTATAATTCAATTTGTTGATGAGTTAGGGCTCTCAGAAAATTATACTTGAAACTGTTCATTCATTGGATTCATATCCTTGTAATCATTTTTTTAAGAGAACTTTAATCTTGGTAGATTTTGATATGTGCAGTGCCAAACAAGACATTTAATCGTTTCCTTGAGCATACGAGAACGTTGACAAATATACATTTGGAAATTCCATTTGCCAAATGATAAATTTGTCTAGTGTATTTGTAATATTGAAGGAAACTTCCAAAGATTCGCGAAAGCAAATATTTGTAACGCTCTGTTGAATTTAAGCAATGTAGATTGTAGCGATATCTATCATTTATCTAAAGAGTCTGACAACAAACTTCGACAACTCATGCGCTGGCCAGAAACATAAACTTCGTAAATTCATTATTCAACCACATTATCACCTCCTTTTTGTTGAATAATAAAATTCCTCTGCAATTCTGGTTTGATTAAAAAAAAAGACACTCCTGTTTTATTGAGGTCAGTTACCTTTCAGAAATGCAATAAAATATCATGGTTCAGTCAGAGAAATGTGATTAAGGTCAAAGTGATACTTAGTACTGTGATCACTTCTACCATACAGAACTATCCAGCCATCTATCTTTTTTACCAATCATCATTAAATATAGGTGAAATACCCATTATTTCCTACCTACCTCATTTCATTGTAATATTGTTATCCAAATTTTCATCTATACAGGGTGTCCCATGAGTCATGGATCAAAAGAAGAGGGGTGGTAGAAGGAGCCATTTGCAATCAAACTAACCGTATATGTGGTTATCCAATTGTTGATGTTTCAAAAGTTATTAAATTTTTCTGAAAATTAATTACAAAAAAGCTGTTTTGAATAACGGTTATACCATTTCAGAATCTGCGCAACTTTGTCTTTATAGTTGGTTATCTTCGCGGGGGAGTTTTTGAATCTGCCAGTGGCATAATAACATCAACTGAATTAAACAATTCATTTTACAAAACTTGAGGAAAACAACACTCTTCTTGATTGATAGGAAGTAACACAGACCTTAAAAATTATTTCTGGGAAATGGTACATCCATGCGGATGGAATTTGTAAAAGAAAAAATCACAAATGTGACATAGTTTTATTGTACTCAATTAGTTTTTTTTTATAGAAATGAGAAAAAAATCATAACTTCCGAACCATCAACAATTTCATAACCACATATACCACCCCACTTCTTTTGATTCATGACTTACGGGACACCCTGTATATTGAAATATGTCTCAAAAATCGCTTACTATGGTACTGTCAGGCCAAAACTGAATATTTTTGATCCGGCCCCGAGTTTTACCCCAACCGAGAAAAATACAGCACCATTCCATCTCGCTTGTAGAGCTGAATAGTGGGTAAGGTGTGTGGAAACTATTATGGTTCATAAAAGTCTCGTAAACTCGCAACATATCGAACACGGCAAACGTCCCCGACTGCGTTGTTATTACACCACCAAGCACGCCTGCTTTTTCGTGATTTAGAGGATGTCTGTTGTTCGATGTTGCCAAATGTCAAATGATGTGTACACATTTGTAAATATGGGTGGAGTGAAAAACAAGATATTGAACTAAGTCGTACTCTAAACAACGCTTTTAAAAACGCGTTTTAAAACAGCTGGTGCCTTCATCCTCGTGGATTAGTGTAATCATTATTATTTTTGCTCTTTCCTATATCAATATTTTTTCAAGATGTAGGTATGTTACTAACACGCCAAAACTACTTCTTATAAGATTGTAATGTCTTGGAAACAATAAAATTTAATTGAATATAATCATATGGACCTGAAAACATACATATAATCTCCGAAAAACAAAATTGCGATTTCCTATATCTCTAACCGGTTCTACGTAACATTATCCGCGGACATAATATCCGCATCACTATATCCGCGACAAAGAAATTTTCAATCATTAAAATGAAAATTCGATATTAAAATTTGTAATAAGTATACAATAAATATAATAAAATACAATACGCGACAACACCTTCCGGGGCTTTGTCCTTGAACCACATACTAAACATTCTCTTCTAACCTTAATCAAAATAAGATACAAAAAACATATTAACCAATACAGTAAACATTTATTACTGATGAAGAGACATGATAATATTTTGTAACAATCTAACCTAACTCGGCCTAAATGGACCTTCTTCCTAAAAAGTATACAGGGTGTTTCATTAATATTGCACAAAGCTTCGAGGTCGTATTTTCCTGGTCAAAATGAGAAAAAAAGTTCATATAAACATATGTACGAGAACGATTCGCTTCCGAGATACAGGGTGCTCAAGTTTTTTGAAAAATCTATCTTTTCAATAATTTCTAAATTGACATTGGTAGGTACCTTAGTGCTTGTTTCACCATGGTTACATGATTGATTTGGTAAACGGGCAACCAGATTCTGATTATTACACTTTTTCTCTCCAAAAATACCTCATTGTAAAATTCAACAGACATTGTGAATTTTATCACTATCGGTTCAGACATATTTTAGAATGTAAAGAATCAGTTGATTTTTTGCCAAAATTTAACAATTCGTAAACTTTGCCGGAAAAGAAATATTTAGGAGAAAAAAAATGGACAGTGTACTTTAATTTTGGATTCACGTCGACGGGCCTTTTAAATTTCTTACCTTAGAAAATATCTGCAAGAGGATCCAGAAAGTTGAACGGGCCGGCCATATGGAAATTTCCTTTTTGGTCGTTTACCCACTACACTTTTCGTATCAAAATGTTCCAAATGTACACGAATTTCCATATGCAGTGAATTAATGCACATTCGTTTCAACGTCTAATGTGACGGTTTTCAAATTTTCCTTTGATTGTTGAAGAAAAATTGATTTGTAACGGCGACTCGCGTACTCCCGAGAGAGATGTCTTGTTGAGTGTCTTTTATGCGCAACAGGTGTATTTGATTCTCTTCCTGTCAGCTAGGCGCGATTGAAATCTGAAAGGCTTGATCGCCATAATATAATACCCGGTGTGCAAATCAATGACAAAAAAAACTAATGAATCATTGAATCAGATTTCTTGTTAACAGCAAATAAATCCTACATAATAATTAATAGTAAAAACATACACGATTGCGTGTGGACGCAACATAGAAGTTAATAAAAAATCGTTTTTTTTTTCAAGGAACTTGAGCACCCTATATATCAGAAATGAATTATTTTCGGAATTTATGAACTTTTTTCTCATTTTGACCCAAAAAAATATGAACTCGAAGTTTTGTGCAATATTAATGAAACTGTATATTTCGGACCCGAATAAACTTAGCAGAACCACTTCAATATTTCGGATTTGCAATAGTACTATAATTTGTTACTAATTTAGTACTAATTTATTATCATATTCGCAAATTTATTACTCTTCAATCTTTGGAAGAAGTCCATGGTAACTCAAAGTGGAGTGGTGTAGTTCATAGATGAAAACCCAAAGTTCTCTTCATTAAACAGAAAAAACCAACGGCTCTGCTAGCTTTATGTCAACCTAGCAGAACCATAGCTGAAAATTTAATATTATTTATATTATTTTCAGAATATTAAATTTTCAGCTATGGTTCTGCTAGGTTGACATAAAGCTAGCAGCGCCGTTGGTTTTTTCTGTTTATTGAAGAGTAATAAATTTGCGAATATGATAATAAATTAGTACTAAATTAGTAACAAATTATAGTACTATCGCAAATCCGAAATATTGAAGTGGTTCTGCTAAGTTTATTGGGGTATATTTCGGGATAATATCTGCAAACATAAAAGTCGAGCATAGATTGAACACGAGCCGCGAAGTGGCAATCAGACCCACAGCTCGCTGTACCATTCCCTTACTAAAAAATATATTTATATGAAAAAAGAATTACCTTTCTTAGCTATCGCGTATTGGCGGATTTCAAGGTCATCAGATGACGTTACGATGACATTTAGCAATAGGGAAAACATGTCTGACTTTCAATCTAAGCCAGGTATTGGAAATGTTATCTTCATTGCTAAACGTCATCGCAACGTTAGATGATGACCTTGAAACTCGCCAGTCAGTGACGTCATGTACGCTTGTTTCGGGTGCTCGTTTTCTTCGGGTATTCTCGTTCCAATGATGGATAATTTCCATCATTCTCGTTCCTGAAGACTGCAACGTCTTCAAATAAGTGAGAAAAAGTGATAGAAAACAGAATGATGCATAGTCATTGAAATATGCTGATATAATAACGCGGATATAAGGCCACGGATATACTTTCGCCCGGACACGTGTCGTATATTTAATGTCGCGGATATAATGGCAATTGATCAAATTACATGATACCCTTTAACCAGAGTATATGACAATGAGCCATGACATTTTGCCGTCGATGAAAACTGTCTTTTTATAGGTGTATATTTCAGGACGATTTGGTGTTTTTGACTATATCTTTAGAAGACTCACATCTACTATACAGTGTATTCAATTCTTAAAAAAAAATGTGATCGATAGATCTTTCAGAAGTATCAAGGTCAGACTAGTTCATTCAATTACCCCAGTATTCTTTGTGGAGGTCCACGACCTTGAAGTGGATCAGGGCGATATAGTTTTTTACAATATTCGGAAAACTAAATTTTTATGACTATCTTTGATTACATATTAGCATAATTGCAAAAATATTCATAGTGCATTAATTTTCTTCTGATGAATTCTTGTGAATTCTGAAAATGCAATCCAAATTATACGTATTCACAAAAGGAGTGAACCCCTTACTGATGCTATTGTGTACATTTTTGTAATTACAGTAATTTACAATAAACAATATTTACTTTCCAAGAGAAAAATGGAAGAGCAGGATCCCATTGCGTTACTCACGTGACAAGTTTAGATCCTGAATTCTGCCTATTGATAGGAATGAACGTTAGGTTTTTTTACTACAGAATAATGTAAATCATTCGTTCCTGTCAATAAAATCTATTATTATTATAATTAAAGTTTAGCGCCCTGATGCACCAACTTCAATCTTCCTCTGTTGTTCATTGACTTTTTCGCAATATAAAGTGAGTCCGACAGTATAAATACTGATATTTTTGCTTTCAGGAAAAATTAGCTAATGCAAAATACGCAATATCGATGTCCCGTAAAGCTGGTGCTAGAGTATACGCCTTGCCAGAGGATATCACAGAGGTGAAACCCAAGTTGGTGATGACAGTTTTCGCCTGCTTGATGGCACTCGACTATGTTCCCAATATGGACAGTGCCCGACAGTAAGGTCAATAGAATTAATGGGGGTGATGGCCGAGGTATTTTGTATGTCTCTGGTAAGTTTAGGTTGGTATTGAGCAAATGGCAAATTGAAGTATTCATCAGACTGACGAGTAATAATATCCTTAATACCATTTGGGACATTCGCAATTAAATAGTGGGGTCAATTTGTCATTTCTTATCAAAAAGTTTACCAACCTCAGAGACAGATTTGTATGAAACTGAATGAAGTTTATTATTTTATTTACTAATATTTTATTTATAATTTATTTTCAATCATTTATAATGTCCAGGTTTGAAAGGCTTTCAAGATAGGATATATTATGTTATTTACTATTATATTGAGCCGAATTAGCATTCCTAATTATAAAAAGGACCATACAACTACTAAAACGGAATAAAATAACATTTACAATTCATGACATTGACATTTTTGTAATACTATCTTATTATTATGTATATTTATATTTTGGAAACATGTGAAATGAAATATTGCTTTTGCTCAACTTTGATCAGAATTTTATCTTTTCCATGTTTGGATCAGATTGAAAGGGTTTAAATTCTGATTGAACTCAAGTGTAAACTATATATTCATTTTTGATTCAACGGAAATCTGGACTTCTACATTCCACTTCTTTTATCAATTTGACAAGTATCTTAACAATATTCGAAGCATTAACCAATTCATTTACTAAAAACGTCTCTTATTACCAATAACTTCAAATTGATTTTAAATAGAGTCAATGTTTTTTATCAAATTTTGGTACATTCCGAATCATTTAGATTGCCTTCAAAAATAAGTATGAGATACTAAACTATCATTATCCTTTCGGGAAATTTGGTGCAATAGATTACAAAATCTAAGCTTTGTACAAACCATTTTTGAATGTGATGATCATTCCTTAAATATTATTCAGAAACTTGATTTTTTTTTGTAAGATACTTCATTTTATATATGATTTCTTCCCTTAATTTATTATCTGGCTCTATGCGATACCAAACTAAGTGCCATTTACAAATAAGCGTACACTCTAAGTGTAATTCCAATTAAATATAGTATTACTATAGGCATTTATACTTCTTGTAAGTTTATACATTTTTAATTTAAACTGGTCATTTGCTTTAATAAATGGAATAGGCAGTAATCATGTTTTATTTCATATTCTTGGGTGAGAAGAAATGGTGGATAATTGAAAATGTTCTATGGTGTCCACTACAAAACCCAAACAAAATGAAACTTAGTGTGATATAAAAATCAAATGAAATGTTTGGTGTACTAGGTTGAGTGCTATTTTCCCTGAATATTAAAATAGTATGATATCCATGTCCATGTCAGCCTGCTGCATGTAAGTCTTTTCAATGTCAATTTGGTTTATATTTGATCAAACTACCAATGAGGAAGCAAAATACAAAATCGAACACATCATGTTTTCGATTATCAACACAGATTTCAACCAATCAAAAACATGTATTTCGAAATGAGTAGAATAATCTCCATAATAGACGGTGAGTTTCAGTGAGATTCGAAGATTCGGTGTATTTCTCGATTCTAAAGATATTTGGTCCTACCTATAATCCATTGTTAAAAATGTGTTAAGACTGGGTATTGCACCAGAGAAAAACACATAATTCAATTACTAATGAATATCGTTTGTAGGTTTCAATCATCATTTTACAGGTGGTATCTGTCTATGCAGTCACTGATTCATAAATATCTGCTGAAAATGAAAATATTCACTTCGCTTTTGTTTCTATGCTTCAGTAAGATTATAGTATCATGGTATCTAAGAAGTCATTATTTTAAGTAGGGAAATTTTACCTCATTACAACATACAACGTTAGTAGGACAGAATGAAGCGATACTGTCTCTGGAGGACCACACCTTTCTTCAAATTGTCATATGGAATGATTAGCACTGTTGCAATATTCACCAAGTTCAACACGGTTTATCATTATTTTGAACTAATTTGTCCACTGTCGCAAACCGTTTTCTCCTTGGAGCTCTGTGAACTTTTTAAATAATTTCATTCTGGTATATGAAATGTTCAAAGAAAAACAATAGTATGCGCTCTCAGGGCACGGGGCCCTTCATTTATTGAGAACCCGTTTTTTCACTAGCATTTGAATTCTTGGCTATGGGCATCGACAATTCAAGGAACAGTAGCATCAATTTTTTCAACTCAAAGTAAGTCAAGCACAAACTAGGTAATTCTTTTACTTCAAATATTTGTTTTTGTATTGTAGACCTTTCAATTAAGCTGAAGATGTTCTTTTATAAGACCGAAACATGTCCCGTATGATTATGTAACAACATCATTAAAATTTGTGGAGATGACTTCGAGCATTCCTTCCTTCCTGTTTCAAATAATTATTGAAATTCACGATATTTCATAAGAGAAAGAGCGCGTGATGACATATATCGCGATCAATCCATTGGAATTATATTCGATACGACTTCGTCATCGAGAGGTAGCGTTTTTGAGAGTTGATTATTTTGATGAATGGAAAAAATATTCGTGATCATCTTAAATTATGAGTAACTGTATCAAATACTATTTATGATCAAAATTATATACGGCGTGAATTCGAGTAGTGTGTACAACCCCATCACAACGAAAAATATTTTCAAAATCTGACTACACTGTGGTCCACAAGGGATAATCTATGAGCATATTCCAGAATAAAATTGCATTCAGCGTCATTTTCTATCTGCGACCGTGGAGATGATTGCTGATCTACAGTAAGTATACAGTGTGTCCCACTTACCATGCTCACCATGAGTATCTTTTAAACGGTGAGAGATACGAGGTCGGTTAAATGACACCAAATGTGGAGTTCGTCAATGCCAACTATAATGTGGAAAAAATATTTTGATAAAATCTATTCGTTTTTGTTTTATACGCAAAAAACAGATTTTGATCATTTTCATGTCTCCTCCGTAACTTCTTTATTTATGAAAATATTCAAATAGGAATTTTACATTCTCATGGCAGTTTTTCAAAGTGATTTCGAAAAAAATATGAAATTTATACCAACTCTTCTAGAATTTGAGATATCAGCACCAACTTTAGTTTTTCAACGGTAGATCATAGCTCACTATGACTTAGTTACAAATAACTTTTTTTTCTCCTTCAGATGATATGTCGCAGTGATAGTTTTGTGTTGATAATAACGGAGTTATCGTCATTTAAACAAAAACAAAAAAATATTTGGAAGCCGCCATCTTGAATTCGTAAATTTTAACAAAAAAATCACGATCTCCGACCTCAAAAGCCCCCACCTACCAATTTTGAATGGAATCGGACCAAATCTTGTCCGCCATCAATTAAAAAAAATGGCTGCTCCAAGATGGCGGACAAGATTTGATCCGATTCCATTCAAAATTGGTAAGTGAGGGTTTTTGAGGTCATAGAACATGATTTTCTTGTAAAAATTTATATTTAAGATGGCGGCTACCAAATAATTTTTTGTTTTTGTATAAATGACGATAACTCCGTTGTTATCCACACAAAACTATTACTACGACATATCATCTGAAAGAGAAAAAAAAGTTATTTGCAACTAAGTTATAGTGAGCTATGACCTACATTTGAAAAACTAAAGGTGGTGCTGATATCTCAAATTCTAAAAGAGTTGGTATAAATTTTATATTTTTTTCGAAATCACTTCGAAAAACTGCCATGAGAATGTGAAAGTTCTTCTTGAATATTTTCATGAATAAAGAAGTTACGGAGGAGACATGAAAATGATCAAAATCTGTTTTTTGCGTATAAAACAAAAACGAATAGATTTCATCAAAATATTTTTTCACATTATAGTTGCCCTTGACAAGCTCCACATTTGGTGTCATTCAACCGACCTCGTATCTCTCACCGTTGAAAAGATACCCATGGTGAGCATGGTAAGTGGGACACACTGTATACAATACGGTGATTCACGTGGGCCACACATTAGAAGTTGGTTTTCCAACTTACAATAGGATTAAAAACTTGAAAATTGGTACAAGGTATTCGCCATAAATGTCTCCCCCCCCCCCCTCTAGCTCAGTTATTTTTGAACCTATTACAAAATTTTAAATATCATCTAAAATGATTTTCGATAGAGTTTTTTTCCGCTACATCAGAAAATACTAGGTGCTCGGAAAAAACGACCTTTCTCAAATGGAACACCCCAGTTTTCATTGTATTTTTTGATTTCCCCTGAAGAGCTGATTTCATCAATGTATCACACTTGGGGTCTAGCAAAAATGATTACAGAGATATAGGGTGTTCAACATCGGGATTTTTCAACTTTAGGATTTTTCTGTGACGAAATTATTCTTTATCAGTCAAAACGGCTTTCATGTCAGTATCTCAAGTTTTGATTTACTATCTACTGACATTTAATAATCGGAACAGATACAGGGTGATCAGAATTCTGAATCTTGAACCACACTGTATTTGTTCCAATTAAATGTCAGTAGATAGTAAATCAAAAGTTGAGATGGAGACTTTGAAGCCGTTTTGACCAATAATGAATAGTTTCGACACAAGTTGAAAAATCGCGATATTGAACACCCTGCTCTTCAGGGAGAATCTAAAAATACAATGAAATACAGGGTGTTCCATTTAAAAAAACAAGTAGTACTCTGTAGATCGTTTGTTCCGAGCACCCTGTATTTTCTGATGCAACGGGAAAAAAATTCTGAAAAATCATTTAAGATGATTTTTCAAATTTTTAAATCGGTTCAAAAATGAGTGAGCTAGAGGGGAGGACATTAATGGTGAATCACCCTTTACCTATATGATGTTATAATCGAACATTTTTAGTCTACCTACAATTATTTTTAGTTTAAATAAATACCGCCATAGTAGTTTACAAAAATATTTGTATCTCGTAAACTGTTCAAAACCAGAGCACAAAATTTGTGGAAAAGCTAGATGGATCGGTAGTCCTATTTTCAAATGGCATCAACACATTTTTTCCGACATATAAGAGGAAAATGAAATTGAAAATGACTTAAGCAT